CCTTTTCTGAGGTAAAGAAAACTACAATTCATACAATTTAGATGAAACAAACAAGTGAAAACATCATGTGGATTATTCTACATTAAATGTTTGCCAATAGTTCCCTTTCACTTAAATCTTACACACTGGACCTTTAAAGCAGTTCACTCATATCCATACCCTGACAGTACAAGCACCTCAGTATCTTGACCAAGAACACGTCAAATTGAGGAGCCAGGAATCAAACTACAAAACTCAAGATTAGTGGACGACCCGCTTTACCTAAGCCACAGTTGCCCCATACCAACATTTTAGCACTGTTTATTTGGCAAAGATGCACAGGATAACTTTCTGAACAATGGTCCATCAAGAAGCAACATTTTTTTAATTTTTTTAGACAGGAAAGAGGTGCAGTAAACATGCAGAGAGGTCAAAGAGAGGCCCACAGCATGGCCACAGACATCATGAATTAATGAATCCCATATAAGCCCAACAATCTCCTTTTTCAAAAACTGCATTCAAACCCAGACACCACAGTTACTCCACAGAGACGCTTCCTCGCATCTCTGACAGATTGATGCTCCAGCGTCCTTCAGTAGCTGAGTCACAGATGGCCAAGATGATGTCCAGAACCATAGTTTTAATGACAGTGATGTCTGAACAGATGCATGCAGAGCGAGCGACAGGACAGCAGGTCTGAGTGATAGAGAGGAAGATTTGCCAACTGAATATTCAGGCAAGTGTTCGGCTGCCGTCATGGAGAGGGGTGAGAGGCCATAAGGATTCTAATGGGGCGTACGCTTTCTAATGGTCTCCTCATAATCAGTCATGGTGTTGCATTTGTTTGTACATGCAAAGTGAAGCCAGTAGGTGAGGGAAGAATTAAAGACCTTGAGAGAAAAGTTCAAACCCCTCATATGGCTCGTTTTCACCAAAAATGGAAGTTATGTGAGGATTGTTAAACTGTAATCGCTGTAAACAATAAGTATAATTGTTCATGGCATTTTATATGCTAACGCCTGGTTGTTCACTGCACATCATAACATCGTGCAGAAGAAGTGCAGCTCCGGCATCTAGACAGCCAAAATAAAGACAAGCACGTTCACCAGGGTGTCATGTTTCCATCACTGCCGATCACAGCTGATAAAAACTGTGTCATTTGACCTGTGAGTGAATGCTGTTTGTATCCATTCACATTGCAGACAAAAGCCAGATGTTAGTGGGTTTTTTGACCAGAAGAAAAGGGGATAGTTTCTCACCTGGTCAGTCACTGCATAAAGTGGATGAGATTCGATTGAAGTAATTATAGGAAGCAGCATGTGTTTGATTTGTCTTGATATAAGGCTGCTGCCAAGATTGATGAGAACGTACATCTGCCTTGTGCTTCAGTAATACAGAACACAGAGCAATGACAAAGACATCTTTATCTAGAGGGTGGCATTGCTTGAAAAGGCTCAGACCTTAAATTAGCACGAGACGGAAACGACAAGAATCAGTTAATAGCATAATAAACTGTACATGTTTTTACCAACTCAAAAACTCTCTGTAATTGCAACTAGAGACGTATGAGAAAGTAAAACTGGTAAAGCATCTCCTCTACGTCTGAGTCCATCAGTGATCAGACCACACGTCTGCAGTGAAACGTGCTGTTGAAACTGCAGCGACTCCTTCATATTATAGAAAAGACAGGTAGAGCTGCCTGCAGGTGCTATTTTGCATGTCCTGCCATGATCACCTGTTGATCGTCGTCTTTGTATCCAGAGGCCTGCGCAGCAAACAAGCGCACCTTCCACTTCAGCATACTCCGTGCGCCATGAGCTGCGGGTGATGAATCAAACTACTCTTGTCCTGCTCTCTCACTAGTCATTTCATTCATAAACCCAAAATATTGCAAAGGCAGCCCATTGGCTGGGAGAGCGCAACGCAAAAAGACGGCGTGCTCTCGGTAGCCAATGGCTGAAGAGTAGTACGCTCTCTCCCTCTCACTTTCATGCTCCCTCTTTAACCCTCTCTCATATTTTGTTCTCTCTCGCTCTCTCCCTTTCCCTGCCTCAGTGAATTACAGCAGTCAAAACAGCCTGACTGAAGAGAGCGTAGTGTAGAAACAAGCACTGCATTTCGGGGACGGGTAGGACAGCTGGACAAGACTATCAACCTACACTTGTGGAGTGGATTGCACTTGCTCCGAGTCCCTCCTAAATCCCCTGAGGGGCCAAACCTTAAGTGGTGACTTAGTCCTATGTGACCATGTAGGCCTCACCATCTGTTTATTTTGTTAGGTGCTGAAAAAAACCCTCCTAGGTGACAGGGAAAAGCACTTTAAAAATGAAACTTCATTGACCGATTGATCGGCTGATTGACAGCTATATTGGCAGATCTTTAACTGAGCCCTCTTGAGATGAGAGTGTGCTTACGTCAGTCCTAACTCAATATGACCCGATTCAATATTCACTTTGTTTTTTTTCCATGTGCAAATCTTTGTGCCACAGAGAGGACAAAAAAACAACAGCAGAAAGACACATGAATCAATAATTGCAGTGATCCAGTGACTCTCCATGAACTCAAAGTGAGCGTGCCACTGTTTATAGGGAACTGGGTTGACAGGGTTTAAGTGGGGTTTTGAGGTGCAACACTGCCATCTATGGACGGGTCTGGATGCAGCAGTCTGTCCACACATTACATCATCATGTTGAGGGCACTGATGTGTTTTTCTATGATGCTGAGGCTCAGACAAAGAGAAGCAGAGACATGGGAATGAAACTGGATTGGAACAAGAGAAAGTTTCACAATATATGTATGAGCACATACACAGAAATAAAGAGGCAACAGAGAGTTTACATAAATCCCCAAACGATTTCCCAATGTACATTTTACATTAACATGAAATCCTCAAATTTGACTAAATCATTCAATAAAATGTATCCATCATCTATACAGCTTTTCCTTTCAGGGTCACGGGCAGAGCTTGACAACAAACATGTACTAATCTTCTCTTCAATATTATGTCAGATGTTCGTCTGTATGCTTAATATCCTTGTTTTTTTTTGCAGCTAAAAAAATATCTTCTTCACCTCATTTGTAAAATGAGGTGAAGAAGATATCCTCCTGACACACAGCATAACTAGACAGCAACTCAATGATGTCTGGTTTTATACTTTGGACTTCTCAGACAATAAGACTTTACATTTTAAACCTTTGACCTCTGTTAGAGCTCTGTTCATTTGTGGTTTAACAGGTCTTTTCTCAGCTGTAGATAAAGGTGTGAAGACAGATTCTATCAACACATTTTTGATTTAGTACATTGATCTAATATAAAAGGTTATAAATAAGCTGTAATCATTTATTCTTCGCCACAATTATTGTCTGAATGTCAGTGTGGGCTTCACTTGAAAGACGGAGGAAACTGTCACACCACTATTTGGAAAGATGATGATGATGATGATGAAGAATATACACTGTACATATTCTGTTTACACTGTATAAATTATTTCTATTCTGTTAATATTTCTTATATTCTCTTACATTTACTTATTATTACTTTCACGGAGGTCTATTTTTTTAACTTTATTTACTGTCTAACTTCCTTATTGTGGGATTAATATGGGATAATTTTAATTTAGGTTGGTTTTGTTGTTGCTTTAACAAAACCCAACACATGAGAGTTCATTTTGAAAAGGGTATTTCTTCTCTCCAAGTTCCTTGAAGAAGGGCTGTAATAACATTCTCCAATTTATTTCCATTCAATGTTTCTAGGATTAGGTTTTGTCATGTTGGCAAAAATTGCAATTGCAGAGGTTAAGCATCTTAACTGTGGGTTGGATTGGAAGTGAGGTCATTTCTACGTGATGCCACATACATAACAGGTCAATACTAGAAAAAAAAACCCTGATGGACAGTCACAGTTTCAGACCAGCACAAGCTTTTGAGTATGAAGGATTCAGTGGGATCACACTGCCTCCTAGTGTCTCCATATGAACTACACTGGAGTCAGGTTAGTTCACTGTGGATGGGTTTTAAATGTACAAAGTTCTGAGGTGTCAAATATTTTACTGATGCAAAGTGAGAAGAGAAACTGGAGACTGCAACATATTGACACACAAACACATGGAACATAGCTGTGATTTCTACTCGAGTCAAACACTTAATCAGTTATTAATTGAAAGATTAGAGTAGAAACATCTAGAAACAATCACTGACTTCCTTGCAATTAAACATTTTTAAAGATTTAATAAGTGGTGGTTATCAAGTATTATCAAATTATCTAAATAGAACAATGACAGGCAATTTTTCAAACATGTGTAGAAAGTCTGTATCACTTATTTAATAAACGCTTGCTGGATACTGATCTACAGCGTCTTTTTAATGATAACATTGTTAGACTGCAAATTTGACCGAGATAAGACAATGAATTAAGTTTTCCTACAACTCTCTGTAAAATAACATTGTAAGCCTCATTTTCTTTGCTTTGTGGAAGGATATGAGGAGGATTTGACACAGTTAAAGCTTCACAATCATACAGTATATCACTTCGCCAATCAAAGCTGCTGACAAATGTTTCGAGTGATATGCACATCACAAAGCTGTGGCCTAGGCTGTGTGGGGTCAATGGTACCTGGTCAGACTGTATTTCAAACCAAAGGTCAATGTAGCTTGGTCAAATATAATACATAAATACAATAGTCAGTCAATATTGATCATTATCATGATAAGTTTTCTTTTCAGTGTAAAGACAGATTTTGCTCCTGAGTGAGGTTTCGGTTTCGAACTCTTCGTTATGAGCTAAAAATGACTAACAGTCGACAAACAGAAGAACATTTTACAAATGTGAGGTAGGTGTGTTATACCCCCACACTGTGTTCACACAATGTATAAGCAATATATCAATATACATTCAACCTTCTGATAACTATTGTTATACCTCAGACAACTCTGAGAACATGAATCATCTCATTATCACCATCTTCATGGGTAACTGCTAAAATACAAGTAGTAACAATAATTGAATATACAGTGTGAGCTCGTGTAACCAGGCATTTATTTCAGTTTGACAGTAAGTTTACCTTCACTTAACAGCCATTTAGCCCTCAAGGTCTGTGGGCACAACTTTGGTGCACAGCAGTCTGGACACAAACTCATTGTCAACTGAGGATTAAAAAATTATAATATTAAGAAATCCATGATGTGGACGCTCTGAACAGCAGGTTAAAAAAAACACAACGTACTGACATTAAACCTTTAGTGTCACATTCTCAATAATCCTCAAAACTGCCCTGTAATAGTTTTCTTAATGACATTACACCCAAACCCACCAGTGGAATTATTCTTTAACCAGCTTCAGTGATTCATCCTGTTCTAATTTACTACATCCAAAGATGTCTCATGTTTGACCCAAAAAGCATAAAATCCTCATATTTAAGAAGCTAGGGCCAGCAAATATTTTGAATTTTTTATTTTAAAATGATTAAAATGGAATTATATATATATATGTGTGTGTAAATATATATGAAAATTGTTGGAGATTTGTTTTCTGTTATTTTTTCAGCTCTACAACAAAGGTCTGGCACCTTCTGTATTAGGTTTTTAAGGGTTTACATGCTAAAAATGACAACCTTTTCATATATAGATAAGATTTATTTTCTTGTACTTTAAGCAGTACTCACACAAGAAGCTCAAGCATCAAAGGTCACTCCAAACCTTTCACTCTCCCTGGTTGATTTGACACTACGAGAGCTACATTCTCTATGGTCAAGAACCAGTTTTTCTACATAAAAGAGATTTCTTAGCTTAGTCGGTATCAAGTCACAGTGTAGCCAAATAATGCCGTGTTTATCAACAGCAACAGGGTTGATGACGGGCTGCATCTGTACCTGAGAAAATGACTTGCTGAGATGTTTCACATCTCAAAAAGCAGTCAGTGAATTGGAGAGCCTGACAATTCTTCACCACCAAAGCTGAGTACATACTATAAGACTTGCAGATTGCTGGGTAATTCACACAACGCACACACACGTATGCGACGCACGGACATACGCGACACACGTGACACATACGCACACACGCACGAACGCGATCATTCAGCAGGAGTAACAAAATCGTATTATGTGAAGTAGACTTTATAAAAAGGAGTGTTGACACAATGTCCGGGATAAAGCACTGCTATCAAATCATGAACTCAAAATGTATTATGTCAAACTTTGGGAAATGCCATAAATATTTTGAGTCAAACAAATGTAAAATTGCACTTCTAGTAAAAGGTCCCAGAGCCCTGAGAAAACTGTGAAGCCAAAAGCCAGACCGACTGAGTTATGCTGTAGTTTGTCGAGCTTAGCTGACAGGAAAGCACCAATCCAACACCTTAAAAATGACTGATCCCCATTACATACAGTTTGTCAGTGTTATTAAATTCAGTGTATCCAATACCAGGCACATTATTCAGACATGAGGCATCATTACTTCAGCAACTCAAGACAAGTGGGGCATTTCTATGTCAGTGCAAAGTGATGAGGGACTAACCCTTTGAAATCAGAAAAGAAACTGAACTTATTAAACATGCGGTTGTGGTCTGCACAATCACCATCCAATGTGGTGCTTTTTGCTTGAAGTCCAACAAGAGCAACAAAGTTTCAGGAGTATTTAAAACAGGAATGTCTGCAGATAAAAATGCCAAACGGACGTCTAAATCTTCTGGCTGTGTTGAGAAAGATCCTTCATGTTCACGACAGGAACTCTGATTCAGTTTCCTTTAAGTCCACAAGTCGTAGACATCTACCTTAGTATTCAGAACAATACGGTCATTGCAATAAAGCTATGTAAAATGTTTGTGTTGCATCTACCTTCACATACCTGAGTGTGAGTAAATCAGAGTTACATCTTCCAGGAAAGATAAATGTGGATATATATTAAAAATGCATATTTAGAGCGGTACTTTCATTCCCTGTGATATCCTGTTTGTGTGAAGATATCCACTGCTGCCAAAATTATTGATTATTTCAAAAAGAACAGCTGCTCAGACAAGGGGCATCTTCACTGGCAATTGCTCCTGGTCGACAGAGGAGAAGAGGTCAGTGATGCCCCCGTTCTCAGCCAGGCTCAGGAGGTACTGCTCCCCATCAACAGAGAAGGCCAGGGGTGAGGCGAGAGTGACAAAGCTCTGCTGGTCTTCAGAGGGGGGTTGTAGGGAGGTGAGGGAGGTGGGCGCGAGGGAGGCGGGGGCAACAGTAACCGGTGATGAATGTTGTGTCGGATCGGACAGCGTGTTGCAGATACTATTGATTCCGGGTGTATTGTTAGCATCATCTGGAAAGATAATGGGAGTGTGGATAAGGAGACATGAGTTGGTGAAAAACATGAGCAATGATGGTGAAAAATGTGAACCAGCCATCTAACAGTAGGCTTAAAACGAAATATATCATCTTATAAAAGCTCCCTTGTATGGGCAAAGGCTCATGGGTATTTTCTGTGGCAGCTCAGTCCCCCTTTGCACGAGTAATCGGTGAGATCGACCATGGGATCTGTAAGTGTAAGACTCACCTTTGGGAGACACATGGGCGAAGGAGGAGTCAGACGAAACTGGGACGGAGTCATTCCCACGGGTGGACAAGTTCGAGTAGCTGTCATTGGCCACAGAGACATCTGTGCCGACCGAAGAGACGGGGTCATCGGAGCAGAAGAACACATCAATGGGTCCCCGGGTGCTTCTGATGTGGACCTGGAGCCTCTAAACACAAGGCATGTTAAGATAAGTTCAGTTTAGGCACAACTGAAACCACAGCCATGGTTCTAGTCAACTTAATGAAAAGTGACCTCATCGTGTGCTGAGAAACATACCTCCTCTGGATGTGGGACCTCCAGTTTTGTCTCAGGAGGAGCTTTGATCAAAATCACAGTCTGTTCTTTCAGACTGGGGATCATCTGAACATCCTCATGCGTCAAATAGGCAAATGTTTTCCATAAAGTCAAGGATGACAAGAAGTGGTGTTAAATACAGACACGGGGGGGGGGGGGGCATAACCATCTTGGAGGTAATGAAGCTGAGCTCACAAAGGATATCTCTGAGTGTACTGGTTCTCCGACATCTCCTGAACTTTCCACATACAGCTCTCGATCAGCTCGTCCAGCTTCCTCTCCTGCTCAATGAGAGCGTCCATTTTTTCAACCTCTTCTCTACTGATTGGAGTATTCCTATGCACACAAATTCAAGCAGCAATACAGGATGAACGCCACAACAAACATCAACATTATATCTGACTATTATGTTGAATCATTCCAAATAATAACCAGGACAAATTAGCCATTGTGAGTATATGTGCTGTCAGTGCAACAAGCTCCTTTCCTAAACACACACACTTCCTACAACATCCATTCATACTTACATCCACTCAAATATGTTTTTAGACTTCTTTTTGATGAGCCGGATCCCCTCAAGGACGTTGGTGATATCGTAAATACGCCTCTTTGCGACATTGAGCTGAATGGTGACTAAGTTTAGGTCGATCACGCCACTAGGGGAGTTCCTCAGCAGTTCTATAAACCTCCGTGTCAGCAAACTGAGCGAGGTGTCATTTCGCGACCTCTCAATCATAGAAATGTTTGTTATGGGATTGGGGGCGGGACCTGCAAAAATGGGGGGAAATTTGTGATTATTTCTTTTAAGACAATTTATTGAATTTGGTTTTTATTTATTTGCCAATGAGCAAAACAGAGGGTGTTCTATAGACTTTAGTAAAAGTGAAGATGAAAAGCGAGTCATAATTTAACATTCCATCAAACAGATCACTGTTCTTTTTGCAATATGACTCGCAAAGATGTGAGAGAGGAAGAAACTCAAGCTGCTGCATTTATTCATCAGGCCATTAAACCAAAATATGAAGCAAACAAATTATGGCTTTGGTTTTTACCATTAACTTGACTTCATGTCACACTGTCAGAGCAAAACTTGTGATCTGTCTGGTGTCACTATATGCAAATATGGGTAAACACATTATAAAAAGGTTAACCACTAAGAACAGATGTCCATACCAGGTCTTGAGGGGGTCTTTTGTCCCGTGTTGTGAAGAGTCGAGTCCATGGGCCTCTTGGCTTTGGAAGCTCCACCTTCATCCTCAGTGTAACTGGCTTCCAGCTTCAGTCTTCTCTTTGCCTGAGAGAAGGAAATCACATTGCTTGTGAGGAAGCAAAATATACCTCAAATATACACAGCTGGTATTACAATACCGTTCAACGGAAATTTTTAGGTTTGCATTTCAACTATGTCATTGAATCCTGTGGCTCACAGGGCAATAATACATTATACACATCTCATGAATCCATTGGTTCATATTTAATCAGAAGCAATGAGTCCGGTTGTTGAGAATATATTTGAAATTAGAGGACTGATCAAGGTACACTATCACCATGAGATAGAAGTGTGTTGAGTGCGTCCAAGAGACCCCTGAGATCACTGGGTAGTGGTCTGCTAGTGCTACCCAGGGCAAGGTCCGAACATGGAGAAGCAGCTTTAAGCCACTGTGCAGCACATTGCTGAAACCAACTACCAGATGATCCATTGCAGTTTTTAAAAACAGATTGAAAACTTCTTCATGCACAAGTGCATTAAAAAATATATTTAACAACGTCATACCATCATTGTATTTCATTATATTTATATTTAATAAATGTACGCATTTCGATCCATTTTGTTTCTTTTATCCCTTTCAACCTGTTTTTTAATTTCCATACAGATTTTTTTTTTATTCTTGTTTTTTAATTTCATATTCACTTTAAATAGTTTTAGACTGTTGCTTCCTGACTTCCATCCTTTCCATTCTCTCTGTTTTTAATGTCCCTGTACAGCACCTTGACCCTGCCTGTGTGAAACGTGCTTTATAACTAAAAACACCAATGTTATTTTTTATTAATATTTGATCTCTTATGTGGTGTATAGTTTTTCTCTTTCACTAAGCTGGGTGTTTTGATTACGTTTTCAGTGTTATTTGTATATGTAAAATATGTGCAAAACTTGATTAATCGTGTTAAAATGAGATGCACTGCTCCCTGCCATGCTGGGCCAAGGCCTCCATACTGATTCGCTTGTGGCTGTACATGACATTACATGGTACAGTCTGCTTACCAGTGTGTTCCCACAGAAACATGGAGGTGTCAGTGTTAAAGTTCGCTCTGTACTCGTCAGTCAAAGTGTGAAGAAGTATGTCTCGACTAGTTGTAGTGTTGGTGATGTGTAAGCTAAAGTACAACACAAGTAGTCAGGATATACACCTTCAAAATAAAAGCATGTCACTAAAACCGACACTTCTCACACAACATAAATCCCATCAGGAGCTTTAAGTGGAACATTATTATAGCCATAACACTCAACATAATATACTTTGATTGATATTTAATGTTCTAGTACATTGTAACACTGAAGCTCAATCAAGTATTATTTGTGCAGCCTGCATTCACAAATTACAATTTGTCTCATATGGCTTAACAAGGTGCCACGTTCTCTGACCTTAACAAGAGGAAAAGGAAGAACTACCAAATAAAACCTATTACAGGGGAAAATGTAGAAACCACAGGGAGAGCCACATGTGAGGGATAACTCTCCCAGTAACTGAGAACATCAACAAAAAGTATTTACAACATTCATTAGAAGAAACAGTTTGTATGAATTGAAAGAGTTGTGAATGAACTGAGGAGTTATTGTCAGTAATAGTAGAGTATGTGAGTAGGCATATTGTATATCAAACAGTACAATCCACAATCCATCAAAAATACAATTTATTGGGCTTATTTCAGGTAGTGAATGATTGACACCTATTAACACTGCTTTTGAGTCAAGTTCAAGTTTTATTTGTCATGTTAACTCAGGGTCAACAACAGTACAATGAAAATTGTTAAACAACAAGGACAGGCCAGGTAAGCAATGCATTAAGAGTAATAAGTATATAGTAGGGCTTTTAACGAAACCGCAGTCCAGATGTCCACAGTTTCAGTACACAAAACACGAAGACAGAACGAGTTGCGGTTCTCCGCAGCCTGTTACGTGTGCTAATAGAGAGCTCAGTCTGAGAGATGGATGGCTTCCACAGTCACCGCTCTTGGTAGATGTCCTGAATGGACGGGAGTCCTGTGTGTCCTGAAATGTGTTGAGCCACCTCCACCACTCCCTGTAGTCATTTGCAGCTGCAAGCAGAACAGTTCCCATACCATACTTCTGGGATGGTCCCGATTTTTATCGATATTGGAGACATTCAGGTGGAGCTCAAGAAGATTATGGGGGCAGGCCTTCCTCTAGAGCCTGAATTTTTTTTAATAAGAAAAACTCCAGCGGATATAGAATCAAAAAAACTAATTATATTTACTTGGGCTGCTGCTGATCTGAAGGAGATGACTACAGTGTTATGGAGAAACTTAAAGCTGCCAACTATACAACAGTGGAGGGATAAATAAAAAAGATTTTTTACTGATGCCATCAACACTGAGTAAAGGCTAGAACGAGATAGTTGAAAATTCACTCACTCGTTATCTACTCACCACAATGTCGATGGAGGGGTGGGTGAAGTGTTTGAGTCCCCAATAGACTTTTTGAGATTCACAGCACGAGCCTCTCTGCTCTCGCCAAAGGGGCACGGGACGACATCAGCAATACTCAACTTGCAATGCCTCCACACGTGTGTGTGTGTGTGTGTGTGTGAACGTGACACCACATCAGCAGTATGGAGGCATGTTGTGTTTTCTTTCTGTTGAAAACGTGGTCAACATTTACTTCCAGTTGTTTACGCTGTTTACCCCTCAACAACAAAAGTGTGTTGCGGACTCAAACACGTCGCCCACCCCTCCATTGGCAAAGCAGTGAGTAGATAATTAGTGAATTTTCCTTTTTTTTTGGGGGGTGAACTATCCCTTTAAACAATCTCCCTTTATTCTGAAGGGACGTTTGGAATTTCCGGGGCTGTGGTGAGAAACAGTTTGTGTCTAATGACGCAAACAAACAAAGTAAATAAGGATAAATGAAGAAGAATAACTAGTAACAAGCCTTCAACATGTATCTAACAACACTTCTGTATGAAGAAGAACATGCCCGGCGGGAGAAAGCTGCTGTAAACACAGGCTGCGCGATGTAAACAATGCAACATGGCTGACTGAGTGAACAGTCGTGTTTACCTTGTTCATGGTTTTAGCAGTAGCCCCTCTCTAAAGTTACAACACAGCCGGGCCCGGTGACTCTTACCTGGGCTTGTTCGCGTGGACGTGTCTGCTGCTCTGAGCCGGTTGCTGTAGTGGCGGAGGGCCCGGGAGGTGCAGGGAACTTCAGGCCGTCATGCGGTCCCACGAAGGCGGCCTCGTTGAGGGCGGTCTGCGGGGTGAGGGTCCCGGTGGTGGAGCTTTTCTCCGAACCGTCGGAGCCTTCCGCGGCCAAGAGACGCTGCTTATTCATCTCGTTCCGCGGGGTTGACTCCTGCTGCTGTGTCGACGTGTCATTTTCTCCGCTTGTTCGATATATCGGGAGCCGCGTCCAGCTCCACGGACACACACACACACGGAGCTGCAGAGGAGCTACGCGCGAAACTCCAGGTTCCTGGGACACGTTTAAACCTCATTTGCATCTGAGTTTCTATTGGCTGTCGCTCCGTGAACGTAAAGACGCGTACGTGCTTTTGACGTACGTGAACGTTACTGGAATATTTCCGCTCTGCTCCCCTCTGCAGAAAATATAACAAACCTCTGCAAACTCATTCCAGTCAAAGTTACTACATTTGCATCCTTGAATGTCTCTCTGGCTGCACCTTGGAGTTTATATAGTTTTAGTGTTGTATCATATTGTGTTTGACTTTTTTTTATAGAAAGCTTAACAGCTAAGCTGACCGGTTTGTTCTTTTCCAACATTGTACCTTGAGTTAACTTGCACATGACAAACAAAATGTTTCACCACCAAGGGAAATAAAGCACATTTTTCTGACAGTTTTACTTCTTAGTTTATTTACAGACAGCATATTTACACCCCTCCCGTTCAGTGATAAAACCAAAATGTGTTTATTCAGTTTTCTAATAAGATGGAGGATTAAATTGTGATTCATTTAAAAACTTCTACTTCTTAAGATAAAAAATATTTTTGAGAACCCTCTATACAAAAGCTGAAAACAGGTCTATGTTGCATATGTAGACTAAAAATACACAGACTATATGCATTTCTGTAGATTACTCTAGAGTACATGAACTAGTAAAAAACTGCAGTAAAGTGAACTCCAATGAAAAAAGACAAGGTTCAACCTAAAAAATGACTTCAATAGGAAAGACTGAAATTAATTAATTAAACTATTATCAGCTATCAGATATTCTGTATTTTTGGTGAAAATTAACACCATATTTGCATATACCTGGGTACTGAAACCATGAAAGTACTGTCCCTTAATTAACCAATATGCTTCAAGCGGTTTGAAAGTTTAGTTTTTCATGATTCAGCTGCCCTTAAATCAAGATGAAGCAACAATGATGATAAATCAGAAGTGTTACCTAAGTGTCATGAGACTGTAATGTTAAAATTTTAATGATGCAAATTCATTTTTATGGGCTAACTCCATCTTTGTCCAATTGACAGATGTAAACACCAGCTATCACCAAGGGCAACCAGCTGCCATCTTTGAGACACATCCCACTGAAAGTCGTCCCAACACTTCGTCATGCTTCTACTGACTTCTAAGTATTGTCTTCCTAAGTCGGGTTATTTTAAATTTCTCATACAATTGGAACCGACTGACATTAGCTATCTAACACATTGTTTTCAGAATACTTAACCTATTCATCACTTAAACAGAAGACCAACAGATGATTGATGTACCATTTTCAGGAAAAAAGACAGTAAATGGGGTTATATCTGTAAGTACAACATTTATATTGTTCAAACACAAATAATGATGAAAAACCAAAACTGTCATTTGGTTCAATGTTGTGTATCTCCATACATTAGCTTCATATAATGTAGACACTGACTAATCCATAGTTACCATGTTAAAAACTGTGTCAGGCAAAGAGCTGTGTACAAGTTTAAAAAAAAAAAATTCACTACCCCCAAAATCCCCAATTACAAATATCTTCCTCATGTCTGTTGTGAGCTGGTAAAACTATAACACAGAGAAGTTATTTGCTTAAGTGGTGCATTTCTCATTTGGAAATCCCAATATTTTAACAACTTAATTCTCATGATGATTTAGAAAGAAATGTCAGGCCTTTGTTCTTTTAAACAATTTAAAAACACTGTCACAGAACATCATGAGCGACAACCTTCACATTTACATAATGTGCCGGACAAAAAGAATCAACAAAATCTGTGAGTCACTCGATTCTGTTCAGTCGTCAAACTTGATCTTCTTCCCCTGGAAGGCCAGGATTTGTCCTTGCTGTTCCTTTCTTTTCTTACTCGCCTCCCAGGATGGATGCAGCGCCTGCTGTGGTGCCTGCTGGGAAAAGGCACCTCGACCCATGTGCCTTGTGAAATCGCCTCTGCCTCTGCCTCGTCCCCTCCCTCTGCCCCCAGATGCAAAGCCCTTCTCCTCCGACTCACGCCGTCTGTCGTCAGGCTTGCTGTACTTGGTCCCTGAGTTTTCTTCCGCTCCTGTAAACTCCTTTCGAAACATGGATTGTTTACTGAAATCTTTGTTGAAACCTCTTCCAGCATTTGGCTTTCTTTGGCCCCTAAATGTATCACCACCTCTTCCCCTGCCTGCACCTCTGCCAGCACTCTTCAGAGGCCCTGAGAGGGAAGTGAAGACAGACTGAAGCGAGGTTGATTTAGACTTCAGCCTGGACTCGAGCTCATCAAGTTCATTCTGGAACTTGTCTGAAGTTGTCGCCTTGTCACTTGTCACTTCCTCCCCCTTCACCACCTTTTTCTCCCCTTCTACATCCTTCTGCTTCTTCTTCCTGTATTTGCTGACTTTTCCTACGAAGAAGTCATCTTCGCTCTCCTCCGACTGGGAGGACTGATTGTGGAAACGTTCCTCTGTGCTGTCGTCGAAGTACTCTTTCTCTTTCTCATCAGATGAGTCTAAATCACTCTCTTCCTCATCTGATGACTCTAAATCACTCTCTTCCTTATCTGATGACTCTAAATCACTCTCTTCCTTATCTGATGACTCTAAATCACTCTCTTCCTTATCTGATGACTCTAAATCACTCTCTTCCTCCTTTTCCTGTTTTTGAAGAACCGCAGCATTCGGTTTCTTCTCTGCACCTTTACTTTGAGGATTATTTTTCACAGTGTTCTTTACTTTGATACTTTGTGTTGATACTGGACGCACACTGTCAGACTCTGGTATGTCTTTCTTTTGAACATCAGCAGTGCTGGATGAATGAGCTGCTATTACAGTGTCTGTTTTAGGTTGAGCATCACTTGAGTCTTTAAGGATAACATCTCCTTCCTTGTTTTCTGACATTCCCTTCAGCTGCACTTTAACATTTGCCTCTTCTTTGTCTCTCTTTTTTTCCTTGCTTTTGACTGGTGACTGCGGTTTTACTTTTTCGGCTTTAATTTGCACCTTTTCCACTCCTCCCTGCTTTAGATCCTTCATCCTATCCTTTTTGAAGGCTTCCACAGCAGCTTTAATGTCCTCAATCTTCTTGCTGAACTGAGGGTGGGTGGCGATGCGTGCTACAGCCCGGTCAACAATACTAGACTTGGGGTCTCTACACACCTGCTCAAAGTTGAGATTCTTCTGCAAGGCTGTCTTGGTCACCTGGAAGTGGGAGAAATCAATTATACAATAAGACATTTTTGTATTTGTTAAATAATAATTGACTTTTTTGCTAAATGTTGCTGAATAATGTGTTCCAAATAAAAAAATAGTTGAAGTTCTTATGACACCTACCACGTCTGGTCTGAGAACCTTCATGGCGTGGATCTCCTCCAGCATTCTGGCAGCTTTCCTCTGACTCTTCTCAACTTGTGCCTCATTCCCCTTCTTCTTCTTCGAGGCACTGATCTGTCGTATCAGCCTCCTGATGATCAGTACTCGCACCCTCTTCACCTCCTTCCTCATCTTCACCACCTCATTGTTGAGGTTCAGGACACTGTCCTGGTCTTTGTCTTTAGTCTGAGCGGGTACGGGAACCTTCTTTGTTTTATTTGGGGCTTTTGCCTTTGCCTGTTGCTCCTTTTTTATCTCACCAGAATCATTCTTTTCCTCGACATCTTCCTCCTGTTCTTCGTGATCATCATCATCATCTTCTTCTTTACCTTCCGCCTCAATCTCTTCCTCCTCTCTCTCTTTTTCCTCAGCAGATAGCAGAAGTTTCTCCATTTTGTCCCGGGTAAGTATTATCTGATGAAACACAAACATCTTACACATCAGCAACACCTCTCACACTTTTAGTTTGATAACTTGTGAACTTGGGTCTGATGATTTTGTCGATTGCTTAACAGACTAATATAGCCAACATACAATGTAAGAAAAATAACACCAGTTTGTTTAAGCTTTAAAGAGTATACATAGGCTACACACATTATTAAAGTCAATGTAGTTTCACTTTTTGAGAAATACTGACTTTAAAATGTATACTGCAGACAAACCAGGTAGGATGAAAAGTCTTCTAACATCGCTCTGCACCAGACTGTTGATAATGAGCTCTGAACACAACATCCAGCACACAAACAGATAGATTGTAGAACTGTTTGAGGAGGACTCATTAATGACAAGGAATCAGTACATTTACACAAACATTCCCACAGCCAAGTGGTCCGAGACCTTTTGGATCCCACTGTCTTCGACGTGTGTCCTGCTGCCAAGCAGGTTTGCAGGGAATATTTGTGCAAGTATAAATATAAAAATATAAATATAAAAAACAGACAACAAAATGAAATATATATTTAAAAAAATACTATAAGCACCAAGGGAGGGATTTCACACTACGTTGTAAGTAAACAGTAGAGCACGATCACTCCCTGGTTCTAATAGTATTTTGTATATTTCATTGTGTTAACTCGCTGGGTGCTATCAGTGCAGTACCCACGCGTCCTCGCTGACACACGTGTATTACGCTGCTTTATTGAAATAGTGTGTGATTTTTTTAATAATGTTTCGTCGCAGCTGGGTAAACTATAGGAGAAAATCCATTTCCGTGGACGGAGTAGAAACAACCACGTCTGGCAAAACAAACGTTTTTAATTGCACAGATATCACTGTATTCCCACTTACCGCTCAGATGTGACCGCTTTAAACACTTCAAATTGAGAGAAACACTCTACACTCGTTGGCACTCAGAGGGGGCGGCCATGTTTGATTCGTACGTCATCCGGCAGCGGCGTCATGACGTGCAACGTCAGTGACAGGATTGGGGGGGGCGGCGTGTCGTGAAAAGGGGCGTGGTCTGCCGCGGACTGTTGTTATTTATTTCTTTGTCTCGTGTGCAGAAAACAACAAACAGTGGCGGAGAACCGAAGCAGCGACGACGCGAGGATGAGCGAATGACGCCTCCGGCCGCTGTTACCGCACCGAGAGCTCCAGCGAACCACCGGGGGGAGGATGAAGCGGCGCAATGCGGACTGCAGCAAACTCCGACGGCCGTTAAAACGGAACCGAATCACGGAGGGTATATATAGCAGGTACCGAAAGGGGGCTGGGGGGGGGGGCGTGATTGTGTAACAATGGCGTCTCTCTGCATATGTGAAGACAGCAGCTTCAGTCTTGTCTCTGCACAATCGGAGCTAAAAGCTAAACGAGCGCGCTAGCGTGTAGTGGGAATCGCAGGCCCTGACGTTGCTCGTGTAGCATCTCGTTCACGATTTGCTCCGAGCTCCTTAAATTCATACTCTGGCTAAAATTCAAATCGAACGTGGGACAGCGGGACTTCGTGTACATTGAACACGACTTTAACACTCTCTGCTGGGTTTCTGTTTGTTCTAAAAGACGTGGTTGATGAATCAGACGCGCTGAATGAACTTGTGAGAAGAAAACGTTTTGTTCCTGACATGACAACAGCAATGTCAGGGGGCGCTCGTTTTGAAGTGCGGGCTGACGCCGCCGGCGGGGGCTCTCACCTGTGTTTTGTCTGCCAGAGGTTTAAATAACCATTAACCCCCAAGTTAGACTGGACTGAGTGGAGCATATTAAACGCACATATGATTTACAGAGTGTGTTTTCCTTAACACTTGGTCGATGGCCAGTGAGGAAAATCAAACCCCCTGCTTTCCAGTAGCATGTCTAGACATGACACTCTACATACATCCTCAGCCTCTCTCTACCAGCCTCCTCTCTCACTTCTCAGCTGATACTTGATCTATTTCTGTTCCTTCTGTCACAGAGACACATCATTACACTTGGAGATTTCTGCATTTGCACACACGATCACTGTTGCATGGTTATGTCTCCATTATCCAAACCTTGTGTGACCTTCAGGTAACATTGCAAGTCACGCTGTCTCATAAACACCAGACTGTTGTATAAACCTGATGTCATGATACCATCTAAATCCTCAGTAGGTCTCGTGTGGTCTCACACTCTCCTCTCCGTCTTGTCCTCTCCCTGCAGCACGTTCCTGTACCTGAAGTTCCTCGTGGTGTGGGTGCTGGTTCTGCTGGCCGACTTTGTGCTGGAGTTCAGGTTTGAGTACCTGTGGCCCTTCTGGCTTTTCATTCGGAGCGTCTACGACTCCTTCAGATACCAGGGACTGGTAAGAGTTTTTGTGTGTGTGTGTGAGACCCTTACCCCCCCCCCCCCCCCCCCCCATTTCCACCATTGATCCAAACTGGAGATGGTGTAACTAAATGTTAAATGTAGTCGCATCTCCATTTAACACAGAACAGAATCACACCTACATCCACCACGAGGATGCAACAAAGAAAAACACAGAGACTCAGACAGATTTATTGTCCACTGGTTAATGGTCTGTATTTATATTGAGCTTTTCTAGTATTGAGTCAGACTCAAAACACTTTACGTTACAGTTTTGGCACTTACACACACACACACACACACATTCATACAGTGCATCACTTTCACTCACAGGCAATTAGAGGTTCAGTATCTTGCCCAGGGACATTTGGTCATGGGGGGAGACTGGGATCAAACCACCTACCTTCTGCTGAGTGGACAACCCGCTCTAACTCCTGATCCAAAGCTGTCCAGTAATATAGACATTATTGCCTTTGTGCACAAAAAAATACAATACGGTGCATAAGAAGACACCATACATTACCTGGATTACCTAACATTTCTGAAAAATACATAATACTGTATAGTAACAGGAGTAGAATGTTAATATTTGACATGTAGCAATTTGAAACTTAATATTAAATACTAAATATAAAGTTTGCCTGCTCATGAGTCCTTAAAAAAGCAAAGAGAGTATTGTTCTTGACAGCAATGGATAACAATGTGATTGTGGGTGGGTAACCAAAAAGAAAAGTTATTTGACAGTAGGCATAGTAATACAATAATTAGTGTATATACAGATTTTTTCTATTATGAAACTATATACAGTTGTTAATACCTCCCCCAAGTGTATGTTTTCACCCGTGTTTGTATGTTTTTAAGCGCAATTATATAAAAAAAACCTGAGTCCTGATTTCCTCGGTGCTGACACTCCAACATTGAGTATTTAAAATTAGTTTTCCTACTTTCCGAGGGAATAATTGGTGAATCTTGAAGAAAATAAATCTGGTGTGCGTACAATTTGGTCCAGCTTGATCTAATTTTAGGGGACTATTAGGCCTAAGCGGTGGTATTCACTTTACTGCGTACCATTCTTGATAGATATTTAATCATCTGTCTCATTTCTTCATCACTCAGGCGTTCTCTGTCTTCTTCGTATGTGTGGCGTTCACATCGGACATCATCTGCCTCCTTTTCATCCCCGTCCAATGGCTGTTTTTCGCCGCCAGCACCTACGTATGGGTCCAGTATGTCTGGCACACAGGTTAGTCCAAGTTTTCTGGGGAATCTGTTTATAGTGTGACTGTCAGCCAAATGGCCACTTTCCCCTGAAAGAATGTGTACAAGAAATCTATAGCTGCCAAACTGAAAGTGCCGAGGTATTTTTTGTCTACACATACAGAGAGGGGAGTCTGTCTACCAACTGTATCGCTGTGGATTCTGTTCGTGTACATCGAAGCTGCCATACGGTTCAAAGATCTGAAGAACTTTCATGTAGACCTGTGTCGACCCTTTGCTGCGCACTGGTAAATGTCTCATTGTATGATACATAATGCACATAAGAGGTAGCAAAATATCCATGTTATTACAGCATATCCTTCCTAGAAGGATATAAATATCTTCATCCAAAGCTGACACTGTTTCTCTTCACCTCCCAGTATCGGCTATCCAGTGGTGACTCTGGGCTTCGGGTTTAAGAGCTACGTTAGCTACAAGATGCGACTGAGGAAACAGAAGGAAGTTCAAAAGGAGAACGAGTTCTACATGCAGCTTCTACAGCAGGCTTTACCGCCAGAGCAACAGATGCTGCAGAGACAAGAGAGGGAAGCTGAGGAGGGTGAGAACACTCATTACTACAGTCATTGCAGAGTTCAAATCCATATTAACACATATCTTGCAGAGGGAAGAAGCAACAATGACTAGAAATGGTCGACTGATACCATTTACTGGGTTAAAAAAGCAATTCGGTGCATACATTTATACAGATACAATCTCTTTTTTATGAGTATATAAACAACTTTTCTATTTTGGCTCTTCTGGTCCAGACTAAGAAAAAAGTTCACACTTTAGTTTAAGAATCAAGAGCAGGAAATATTGGGTCGTATGGATCATCATGGATTATCATCTTGCATCATTATGAAAACCAATTGTGGAAATAAAACTTTACCATTTGTGTTTATGACAAATAGGAGGATTTTGCACTGTGATATTACAGGAGTGTTGTTGCTGTGTAGCTGCTTCTTTTTTTATTGTGGCTAAAATTAGGGCTGCAGTTAATGATTGTTTTCATGATAATCATTAAATCTATGAAACGGAAAAACAAAATTTCTCGGAGGTGAGGTGGATTCCTTCCATTTGTTGTACAGCTGTACAAAACCTACACGTTCAATATTTATATACGGTTAATTAGAGAATTCATGTGGTGATTTACTTCTATAACAATGGCTATTATGATGATATTATGCAATAGCATTTATGAAGAGCGTCTTCTTTATGTTTTGCAGTCAGCAGCTGTAGTGTATGGTAGTTTGATGTCAGAATTTGTAGTAATTACATTTCACTTGGTTTTGGGGAATTCTGTCAAGTTACCTTTGTACATTCACTAATGCTTCCTGTGCTCGCTGTCTTCCAGCTGCTTTAGCTAAAGGGATCTCAGAGGTGGAACCTCCAGTAATATCCCAAAACGGAGCTCCTCCTGGAAAGAAGAGCACATCAGTCCCGTTACCAGAACTGGAGTACAGGGAAAAAGGGAAGGACAGCGCTGCGAAAGAGCGCGAGGGCAAAAAAGCAAACTCCATTGGAATCAATAACAACAGTATTATACACACACTGGACTCCAAACTACAGGAGACAGAGTTTATTGAGAACTACGTTGGGGCAAAGAGACTAAATAACGACCTGGCTGGAGAAAACACCCACGCTGACACGAACACACACACTACTTCGAAGGAGGAAATGGGCGGTGCGGGAAAGAACTATAAAAATGCCAGTGGAGGTGGGGGCAGCATTTCTAATTCATCTCCACGGAATCACAGCTCCACGAATGGCTGTGTGCCGCAAGGGTCATCGACAAATAAGAACGAGAAGAAGCAGAAGGGGGCTGGGAAGGGTCAGAAAGATCCGGTGGAGAATTGCATTCCCAACAACCAGCTGGGCAAGCCAGACGCTCTAGTACGGTAAGACTCAAACACACACTCGTACTGTTTCAAACACATGCTTCTTCTTACTGTACATCTCGTTTCTGGTGAGTTCAGTTGTTGATGCAGTTTATATTTAACATTTGCAACTATTAGAGAACAGTTTCAATGTACCTTCAGTTTCTGTTCCACATGTTTTACACTTTGAGGATACTAGTCGATGCTGTCGTCCCCTCCCATAGCATAATGAAAAGTATTTGTGTATTGCCTGTGGCCCTCATGGCCCTCTCTTCTTCTTGCCTTTAAGGCTGGAGCAGGATGTAAAGCGACTGAAGGCAGACCTTCAGGCCAACAGGCAGCTGGAGTCAGACCTGCGGAGTCAGCTGTCCTCTCTGAGCAGCCAGGACCGCAGCCTTCGTTCTGAACTGGGCCAGCTCCGCCAGGACAACGAGCTGCTTCAGAACAAGTGGGTGGATCTGCTGTCTCCACACCTACACACCTATACTCTAACAACTTT